TAAATACTAACCCACAAATTCTTTTAAAAGACACGGCACCCCTTTCAAAGGATCAACTATATTCCACACAGTTATCTTCTTCCCACAATTTCCTTTTCCACTCAAACCACACTCATAACATCAATAATCTTTATCGCAATTAAAAGTATCTTTTAAAATGAATTTATTTTGGTGATATCCAATATAGCCTTTAAGAGTATTTCTCTTGCTTTTTTTAAGGCTTAAAAGTTCAGACTTTTCAAAGTAGTAAAAAGCCATCAAGCAAGCATCACAAATATATTTACCTTCCTCTTTCTCAGTTCAATAATCCCATCTATTTCTTTCCAGATAATTTTTGGTGTTGGGTGAATATTCTCAATTGAAGGTTTTTTGACATCTTCAACAAGAGACTATTTTGGGAGGTCTTTGTTTGCTAGTTTTCTTTCTTAATTCTCGCTGGTATTTTAGTTGATATTCTCGATTGTTTATTTTTTTTAATTTTTGAGAACATTGGGGGGAGCAGGTTTTGGATAGATGGTGTCCGGTGAAGGGGGTGGAGCAGATTGTGCAGATTCTTTTCATATTATCATTCTTCAACATTGAAAGCAATTTTTCAGGCCTTTTTGGCTTGTTCCATGATTTTTTGGTTGGCTACTCCTAACTTCTCACCTACTAAGCGTAATTCTTTATCAATAGTCATGGGATAAATAAGTTGGATTTTGCTTGGTTCTTTTAAACCGGTTTCGGCGGTATTTTGAACAAAAACTTCAAAAGGTTCAACTTTATCAACATTATCAGTGGTCATTGGCACTACGGCTATTAGATCATTCCATTCATTCTGAATATTACCACTAATCACCAAGCAAGGGCGGAAGGTTTTGGGGGTTTCTTTGGCTTTTTTGAATTTTACTAGTCAGATTTGCCCCTGTTGGGGTATTTTCTTATTTTTCTTCATTTTTAATATAATCGTCTACTGTTTCATCTCAAACGGCCAATTCTTTTTTTAACTGCTTATTTTTAGCCATTCTTTGATGGGCGGCAATTAATTTTTCTCTTAATCCTGCTTTGGCTTGTTTTTCATTCTTAACTAATTCTTTTTCTACGGCCTGATTAACAAATTGACTAATCTTTCGCTGAGTAATTAAAGGTTTGATTTTATTATAATTCTTTTCAGAAAAATAGATGTTGACATTGTGACCTCGCATATATATTATTTTAGTTGCTTA